TCCACTTTACCAAGCATGATATCCTTCTCCAGGGAATGGTCCTTTCTGACAACATGACCAAAGTAGGTGAGTCAAAGTCTGGTCATTCTCGCTTCTAAGGAGCATTCCCACTGCTCTTCTTCCAGGACAGATTTGTTAGTCTTTTTAGCAGACCATGGTACTCTTAACATTCTTTTCCAACACCACAACTCAAAAGCATCAACTTTTCCTTGGTCTTCTTTATTCATTGTCCAGCTTTCACATGCCTATGAGGCAATTGAAAATACAATTTCTTGGGTTAGGCATACCTTAGTCTTCAAAGAGCCATCTTTGCTCTTCAGCACTTGAAAGAGATCTTCTCAGCAGATTTGCCCAGTGTAATAGGAGGTCTGATGTCTTGACTGCTGCTTCCACTGGTGTTGATTGTGGAAATGAGTAATATGATATCTTTGACAACTTCAATCTTTTCTCAATTTATCATGATGCTGCTTATTGGTCCAGTTGTGAGGATTTTCATTTTCTTTATGTTGAGGTGTGATCCATACTGCAGACTGTACTCTCATCTTCATCAGTAAGTGCTTCAAGTCATCTTCACTTTCAGCAAGCAAGGTTGTGTCGTCTGCATATCACAGGTTGTTAATGAGTCTTCCTCCAATACTGATGCTGTGTTCTTCCTTTTCAGATTATTTGATTAGCATACAGATTGAATAAGTATGGTGAAAGGATACAACCCTGATGCACTCCCTTCTTTTAAACCATTTTAAACCATGCAGTATCCTCTTGTTCTGTTTGAATGACAGCCTCCTGGTCTATGTACAGGTTCCTCATGAACACGATTAAGTGTTCTGGAATTCCCATTCTTCTCAATACCATCCGTAATTGTTATGAGCCACACAATCGAATACTTTTGCATAGTCAATAAAACACAAGTAAACATCTTTCTGGTATTCTTTGCTTTCAGCCAAGATCCATCTGACATCAGCAATGATATCCCTCATTCCACATCCTCTTCTGAATCCAGCTTGCACTTCTGGAAGTTCTCTGTCAATATACTGCTGCAACTGTTTTTGAATTATCTTCAGTAAAATTTTACTTGCATGTGATATTAATGATATTGTTCGATAATTTCCACATTCTGTTGGATCATCTTTCTTTGGAACAGGCACAAATATAGATCTCTTCCAGTCAGTTGGCCGGCCGAGTGAGTGCCTCCAGCAGGGCATCTGTTTGCTGAAACATCTCAGTGGGTATTCTGTCAATTCCTGGAGCCTTGTTCTTTGTCAATTCCTTCAGTGCAGCTTTGACCTCTTCCTTCAATACCATTGGTTCTTGATCATATGCTACCTCCTGAAATGGAAGAACATCGACCAGTTCTTTTTGGTACAGTGACTCTGTGTATTCCTTCCATTTTCTATTGATGCTTCCTGCATCATTCAATATTTTGCCCATAGAATCTTTCAATATTGCAATTCGGGGCTTAAATTTTTTCCTCAGTTCTTTCAGCTTGAGAAATGCTGAGCATGTTCTTTCCTTTTGGTTTTCTAACTCCAAGTCTTTGCACATTTCATTATAGTAATTGGCTTTATCTTCTTGAGCTGTTCTTTGAAATCTTCTGTTCAGCTCTTTTATCTTGTCATTTCTTCCATGTGCTTTAGCTACTTGTGATTCAAGGGCAAGTTTCAGAGTCTCTTCTGACATCCATTTTGGTCTTTTCTTCCTTTTCTGTTTTTTTAATGACCTTTTGCTTTCTTCATGGATAATGTTCTTGAAGTCATCCCACAAATCATCTGGTTTTCAGTCACTGGTGTTCAATGCATCACATCTATTCTTTAGATGGTCTCTAAATTTAGGCAGGATATAATCAAGTTCAGCTCTTTTAATCTATCTCAGCTTAATCTTAATATATTTCAGCTCTTGTGGACTTGTTTTAATTGTCTTCAACTTCGAAGTTAAATTTGCATATGAGCAATTGATGATCTGTTCCACACTCAGCTCCCAGCCTAGTTTCGGCTGAAGATGTTGTGCTTATCCATTTCCTCTTTCCACAAATGTTGTCAATCTGATTCCTGTGCATTCCATCTGGTGAAGTCCATATGTATAGACGCCATTTATGTCATTGATAAAAGGTGTTTGCAATGAATCAGTCATTGGGCTTGCAAAATTCTATCTTGCAATTTCTGGCATCATTTCTATCACCAAGGCCATTTTTTCCAATTACTTGTGATTCTTCTTGGTTTACAACTTTTGCATTCCAATCACCAGTGATAATCAACACATCTTGATTGCATGTTTGGTCAATTTCAAGCTGCAGAAATTACTAAAAATCTTCAATTTCCTCGTCTTTGGCTTTGGTGGTTGGTGCGTAAATTTGAATAATATTAGTATTAACTGGTCTTCCTTGTAGGTGTATGGATTTTATCTCACTGACAGCATTGTACTTCGGGATAGATCTTGAAACATTCTTTGTGACGATGAATGCCACCCCTTTCCTCTTTAATTTGTCATTCCCAACATAGTAGATCATATGGGTGTTTGGTTCGAAATGGCCAAAAACAGTCCATTTCAGCTTATTGTGAGTACCTAGGCTATCTATCCTTTGGCATTCCATTTATTTTTGACAACTTTCGATTTTCCTAGATTCATACTTCATACATACCATGTTCTGATTATTAATGGATGTTTGCAGCTGTTTTTTCTCATTTTGTGTCATGGCATACCAGCAAATGGAGGTCCTGAAAGCTCTACTCCATCCACATCATTAAGGTTGACTCTACTTTGAAGAGGCACGTCTTCCCCAGTCGTATTTTGAGTCCCTTCAGACCTGAGGGGCTCATCTACTGGCACTATATCACACAATGTTTCAGAGCTATTCATAAAGTTTTCCAGTAAAGTATCAGACAGTGTTTCACTGCTATCCATAAGGTTTTCACTGGCCAATTCTTTGAAGAAGTGGATGGCCCCTTCCTTCTGCCAAGTCTGTCTTAGCCTGGAAGCGCCGCTGAAACCCACCCACCATGGGTGACCCTGCTGGTATTTGAAACACAGGTAGCATAGCCTCCAGCCTCACAGCAACACTCAAGCCACCACAATATAACAAACTGACAGACGAGTGGTGGCTTACAGGTGTGGGACCATGCAAATAAGGTGTGTGGAACTCTAATATGAGAATTGGTTAATTTTGTCATTCTGCTAGGTTTAAAATGACCCCAACAAAAGGTAGAAGAGGGGATCTCAGTGTCATCAAGAGAGAATAGCTGGAGGTGGAATGGAGCATAGCATGTCCTTTAATTTAAGATTCCTGTGCTGGACCTCCCAGGCAATGACACCCAGCAGAGAGGTACAGCAGAGAGACTTTAGCAGTGAAACCTAGAGGCACAAGTGGGGTGCATCTAGGTGTACCTATCAACAGAACTAAAAGAACATTGTAACACTTGCCTGAGCAGGGCAGAGGCCAGATGGAGAGGCCAAGGGCCAGAGAGGCATGCCTGAGGGCATAGCAGAGGGGAGACTGTCCTGATTGAAGAATTTTATACTTAGAACGTTCCTGAACCTAAATAATCTGTTACTTCCCTACAAAACCCCATAATTGTGAGTATTGTCTGTGAGTTGTGTGTGACCATTGCAATGAATTATCGAACCCAGCACAGAAGTAGTTTGTGCCATGGGAGGGACAGTTTGTGTAAAGACTAGAGGGTGGTGGCATGTCTGGTCTCAGAGGAATAAGTTTTGGGCGGCTGAGGGTGATTCTATCTTCCCCTCGTGAAGTTAGAGGAGGTCAGTAGATGCTGCCCCCATGCCCTTTTTTTGCAGCTGGAAATTCAAATTCAAGGTGTGGCTGTAGTGGGAGATCTTTCTTTGTCTTTTTCAGCTTCTAGTAGCTGCCAGCAATCCTTGGTGTTCTTGGACTTGTAGATGCATCTGCTGTATGTATCCATCTTTGTGTGGCATCCTCCCCTTGTATGTGTTTCTGTGTCTATTCTGCTCATTTTATAACTCAGAGGTGATTAGCTTTAGGACCTCCCTAGTCTGGCACTATATCTGACAACGTTTCAGAGCTATTATAAAGTTTTCCAGTAATATGGCCTCGTTAACATAACAAAAGAACAGCTTGATTTCAAACAGGGTCATATTTACAATTAGAGGGTTAGGATTTCAACATAACTTTTTGAGCGACATGATTCCATCCATAATATTTGCTTAGCCTCTGTATGGACAGCCAGTGGGCTAAATACATGATCTTATTTTATTTTATCATCACATCAATGCTATAATGTAGTGGGGGAAAAAACCCACTGCTGTTGATTCTGACTCATAGCAACCCCATGTGTTACAGATTAGAACTACTGTGGAGTTTTCTTGGCTGTAACCTTTTACAAAAGCAGATCACCACCCTCTCTTCCAAAGTGCTGCTGCGTGGGTTTGAACTGCCAACCTTTATGCTAATTGTTGTTGTTGTTGTTGTTTGCCATCGAGTCAGCCCGATTCATGCTAATAGATGAGTGCAAACCATTTGTGCCACCCAGGAACCTTAGGGAAGTGGCTAAACTTTTATCCTCAATTGATATTTACTTCCAACTAACGAAAATGTTTTGGTGTGGTATTCACAAAACTGAAGATGGTAAAGTATATTCTCCAGTCCTCCGTCAACTTTTCTGGTCCTCTTTAATCCATTCTATCCCAGCTGGGAGTAAAAATATCCAGGAGTTATGGAGTTAATTGTAACTCCTCCCAATACAATCTACATTAAAAAAAGAACCCCTGAGAGACTAGATTTCAAATGGTGGAATTCTAGTTTTCAAAGCAATCTGTAGAGATGGGAAAGGGCCTCCCTATACCCTTAATAACAGCACCTCAAAGGTGTTAGATCCTCTGCTAACAGGACCCTAGCAACTGGTAGAATGTGGGTTATTATGAGAACAGAGGATTGTGATGGTAGCTGGGCTATGGAGTCTGGTGAGGTCAAATGTTAGTGCCTCAAAAGATGTCCTTTGGCCTCCATTGGCAGCACTGTGGTCTCCTGAATGACAACTGAGGACAAGGAAATGATGGAAGACCTGGGGGCGGGAGAAAGCTGCCCAAACTTCCCCAAGATGTTGCCTGGTGATCCTAATTCTGAGGGGAAGTCAAAGGCGACTTTGGTAAGGGGGAAGCCCATGGTCTCACTGCCCAGTTTATCCTTTCAGGAGGAGGAAAGATACCCTAGGAACATGTAAAAGGACCTGAATGCTATGAGATTCCAGATTGCTGCCAAGAGGAGCAGGTGATATGCACCCATACCTATAACTGGTACTCTTTAAACTGTAGCCAGGGACAGGGAGCCCTTCACAAAATTGTGAAGTCATTTGAAGCTGTTGTAGGTCTCTCCTATCTATCTATTGGGACCCTTCCCTCCCACTATGGATGGGACCCTGTTCCTTCCATCACCTTTTGGTTGGTCCTCATAGGTTTGGATACTCTCAATATAGGCTCTAGGTTTCTTCTTCCCTGTTGGCCGTCAAAGAACCCTGTGCCTAACAGGTCTCAAAGTGAGGTAGACTGGAAGAGTGGAGGAAAGAGTTTACCTCCATGGTGATTTGAAAATCACTAGGATGACATAATTCTACCTCTACTTCCCAGTGTCTCTGCTTGCACTTTTTTTTTTTTTTTAATTTTATTTTGATTTGGGTGGAGATTTACAGAGTAAATTCACTTTTCATACAGCAGTTCACATAATATACTTTGTCTCATGTCATTGACCAAAATTTACAATGCAACAGCTCCCCTCCCACTTCCTCCCCATAGTTACCTCCTCCCAGTGTCCATCCCTCCATACTCTTCTGTGCCCTGAGCTGTCTCCCTGTGCATATCTGCTTGCACTTTTAAGGAGCCGTTCCTTTAGGTTATTTTGTCCTCTTCTTGTCCTTAACCCTCAGGTCCTGACACCACTCTGTAAGTACATTTCTAACTGTGTCTCCATCTTTACAGTTCACAGCACTCTCTCCATTGTGGCCTAGGTAGTATCATGGGTAGGGGAAACAGCCCTACACTGATTCCTCACTCTACCCCCCAGCCCCCTGCAGCCCAAGAAGCAGATGCCCCAAAGCCAGACAACTCCCAGGACTACCAAGAGGAGATGGAGACTTGCGAGGACGGAGGCTGCCCAGGGCCAACCAAGCTGCTGCCCCTCAAGGCTGGCCCCACCACCAAGGGCCAGGCAGGCGATGGGCCTCAACTCGCGGGGCCGTCCCCGGATCCGGGAACCAGGCACAATGCTGAGATAGAGCTGGAGAAGGTGCGCATGGAGTTCGAGCTCACGCGGCTCAAGTACCTGCACGAGGAGAACCAGAGGCAGCGGCAGCACGAAGAGGTGATGGAGCAGCTACAGCAGCAGGCGGCACCCCGCCTGGTGGGTGATGCTAGCCGAGAGGCCGTGGGCCTCGCTCAGAAGGCGCGGGGATGAGACAGAGAGTAGAGCGGTTGCGGAGGCACAGTGGTGGACTGAGACTTGGGGCAGGGGCTGAGGGAGTGTCCCTGTCTGCACTAGCAGCCCACCTTACCTGCAAGCTGTGGCATCCCACCCTGCAGAACCTGGAACCACAGCTGGAAGGGGCTCAGCATCCATGCAGGCCACCTTTTCCTCTGTGCTTCCAGAGATGGGCTGCCCTCTGCTTTAGAGGCCTATATACACCATATACCATAGCTCTCTTAGAAAGAGCTTCTATGTTGAGTTGTAAATCCAACTCTTTAAGACAGTTGTCCCCAGGAGGGACCTGTGAGCCACCTTGTCCACCTGATAGCCCTTTTAATAGCTTAAGACAGATCTGCCCATGGTTTCCTTCTCTGGGAAATATATCCCCAGTCTTCAACATTTCCTCTATGACTGGATTTCCACCACTCTCCATCCCTCTCTGCATCCCTTAAAATATGATGCCTGGAAACTCAAGTCAAAATCTCACTACCATCTGGCCAGTGGGTTATGACAGAAACATCACCTCCCTTGAACAGGAGTGCATTTGCTCTGCTAGATCAATCACACTGCCTTGTGGTCATCTAAAACTTAGACATACTTTCACAAGAAATGTACAACTCTCCTAACTTGTCCTAAATGGCGATTTAAAAAAAAAAAAAAAAACCTGCTTGAGATTAGATGACATATGGAGTGCTTAACACTGTAGCTGGGCCATCATAAGCACACAATAGTGGAAAATGTTCTTGTTTAAAGCAGTGTTGCCTAGACTTTAAAGTCAGACAGTCCTGGGTTAAAATCCTGCCCCTACCATATATAAGCTGAGTGGAGTTGGGCAAGTTACCAATCCTCTTTGAGCATCTGTTTGCTAATCTATACAGTAAAACCTACCTCATAGGGTTGCTATGAGTGTTGTATGGGAGAATGCAGGTAAAGTACTTTGTCATGAGCCTGGCACATTAGGTAAGCACTCAATAAATGTTAGCTATTACTATTTTTATGTATTCATGCAATTCACTCTTGACCCAAAAGCAGTAACTCACATTCATCCCTTTTTCACTTTTATTGGGATGTAATGTATTAGCTATGCTTCCCAGCTCTGAATCATCCACAATTCTGAGAAGCTGGCCTTCTGTCTTTGTCCAAGTCATTGCTATAATTGTTGAAGAGGATATGACCTCAAGTAAATACCACTAAAGCTCTCCTTACAGGTTAGCAATGTTCCATTAATCAGCACCCATGTGTTATATTTTATCCAGCTCACATTTCTCCACCTTGTCCAAAAACTATCCTGAGACACATTGTCAAATGGTTTTCCAAAATTAAGATATTACAGTACCTAAAGCATTTCCCCACTTGACTGGTCTTTTTTTTTTTTTTTTTTAACATAGAGTTGGTTTTGCATGATTGATTGATTCTTAATGAACACATGCTGATTTCTAACAATACCACATTTTCTCTTGTTCAGTTACACATTAAATGATTTTGATGGGTCAACTCAAGCTTAGTGAGCTGAGATTTCCAGAACCCATCTTTTTTCTCTCTCTCTTTTTGAAAATCTAGAAAATATTTTTCTGTCTTTCAAGATTCTGGCATGTTGCCTGATATTTTTGAATTCTTATAAATAAGTTCCGTTTCCAAACTTGTGATTTTTCTCAGTCTTCTGGGATACAATTTGTCATAAGTAAAGCCTGGAACTATCTAAAGCAGATAAATGGTATTGGGCCATGTTTTGGGGTCCGTATCTCCACCTAACCATGTTGGTTTTTCCCTTTTTAGTTAAAAAATCTCCTTGCTGGATGAAATGGAAACCTTGGAAATTGTATGGTTCTATCTGCTTTCTTTCTTCTGCTCAAAAGATAGACCATGGAACGTGTTTTTGAAAAGTCTAAAGGATTTTATAAACATATGCTTTAGATCAAAATCATCATTAACACCCATCAGCATTTCAGACTGAAAACACATGCAGACTGCAGAGAGGTAACAGAAAGTCCATGAATCCAGAGCTGTACCTGGTCTGCATAGAACTGTTAGCTCAGTCCAGTCGTCTACTCCCATTAGAACATAGGGTTTCTTTCTCTGGTCTTCAGATTTCCTTGCTATATTCATTTTAGATCCTTCTAAAATCACTGTAATCATTTTCTGGCTCCCTCATTTTTATTTAGTTGCCTTTGTTGATATAGTTGTTTCAACAATAATTTTGTAATAATTTACAAAAATGTTTTACTTTTGTGCATTTACAAATGATGAGGCATTGACTTGGTTTTAAAGCTCCCTCAGCCACCTCTCTTTTTATGGATGAATTGAAAGTACTTCTTTGTAAGTTTTTTTTTTTCTTTTTTTTTTTTTTAGCTAGTTTAGGGCATTCAGCCCCTGCCCTCTGGCTGCTTACAAAAAATACACATGATTTTAAGGAATATTTTAAAGAATAAACCATGAATGATGGCTTTTTAACTATAGATCAATATCAACTTTTGCCTTAGTTAAAAGTTGATGCTTTCTATAGTTAGAGTCTAAAACACTCAAAAAAAAAAAAAAGGAACTCCAGTAACACAGTGCCTAAGGCACCTGACTGCTAACCAGAAGGCTGGTGGTTCAAACCCACCAGCCACTCCTCAGGAGGAAGACTAGGCAATCTACTTTCATAGAGATACCACCTTGGAAACCCAAGGAGGGTCTATTGGACCCTAATTGTATAGATTCCAGAAAAGAGCAGCTAGCTCCCAGGTAGGATCAGCCTGACAGTTCAAGCTGCTTTATCCACAACCCAGTATCCCAGGGCTCAGGGAGCCCCCACCACCTTTCTCTTAACATCTGCCCTTAGAAGAGACCAAACTCTATGCTGAAGGACCATAGATTAGTTCAGTATAACATGTGCTGGGATCCAAGGAGTCAGACACAGCCACTTACATCCAAGGGATCTCTTCTTATTCTGATCTGCCCAGAAAACAAGGTTGACTGTTAGGATGATTCACCAGAGAACACTCCCAAGACCCAGGGTCGAGAAGGGAGGATGTTTGAGTCAGAAAGACACTGCCCTCATATGTAACTCAAATGGGAAGTATAGGACAGGCAGAAAGAAAGGCATTTGCTGATAAGAGCAGGTTCAAGAAGAAAATAAAATAATGAGATCTTCCTATGCACCAGTTACTTCATTAGGAATTTTTCATTTATTATCTTGTTCTTCTTCCTCGTGATCTTGTGAAGTAGGCACCATTAACCCTTTACTGTGATGAGGAAGATAACTTGCCTGAACTCATAGTCAGGTAGGGACAAAGCAGAATTGAAACCCAGATCTGTCTGGCTCTGAAGCCCAGAGTGGTCAAGCCCAGTTTGCCAGCTCTCCTGTCTTCTTTCCCCCACAGTTTTCAGGAGGGCTTCAGGATCTCCTGCTCCCCCAGAACCAGTTTGCCATGTTCCTGTACTGCTTCATCTTTATACACATAATCTATGTCACCAAGGAGATGGTCGTCTTTCTCTTCTCCAAGCACTACCTCTTCTGCATTGCAGCCATTTTGCTCTATTTGATTAAAACTTTGTGGCCATACTTTCAAGTGCCTTTACTTTGTCCATCACTGGGAATTACCATTCTATGGCGTCATTAGAGCATGCATGAAATTAGCTGCCATCCTCTCTTCCTCCTCACTTCCTGGAACCTCTGTCTCTCATGTTGTGCCTTTCTCCAATCAGAACCTACTCTTGGGAAAGAGTCTGCTGTCAGCCATTTAAACTTTAGTATAAAGAAAAATGTTCAAGCCTCTTGTACTAAGCCTGGGTTCTCGCTGTGCACAAAGACACTTTGTCCTGAGGACTTCTGGTTTCTAATCTAACACATAGAAAGGTTTGAAGTTGTCACTCCCATAACAAGTGAAAAACTGAAAATCAACAACTCTTCTGAGACATGTCAGAAAATTGAGAACAAACCAACACTCCAAAAACTGGAGACACATGTAGATCCAGAAAGATCAATGCTTACCAGGAGCAGAAATCACTGATAGACTAAAAAGGTAATTAACTAATTCCTGGAGAGAATGTGGACTAGCTTGAGAAATAAAAACTCTTGGAGGCCTAGACTTAGCTGGAGGCCCCACATGTCATGAGTTTTACCTCTAGGACCCCCCCAGGTTCTCACTGTGAAGATCAAAGAAAAATTTCCCTCATACTTCTAATAACCATTTTGAAATAAGCCCTGAGTGCTTTGTTTTCCTTAACAATGACCTGCCCTTGAGTAAAACTATTTTATCTGAGCCTAAGGAGCTTTGGTGGAACTGTTGTTAAAGCATTTGGCTGCTAACCAAAAGGTCGGTGGTTCAAACATCAGCTGTTCCATGGGAGAAAGATAGGGCAGTCTGCTTCTGTAAAGATTTATAGCCTTGGAAACACTAAAGGGCAGTTCTGCTCTGTCCTATAGGGTCACTATGAGTCAGAATCAACTTGATGGCAGTGGGTTTTGGGGTTTTTTTGGTTCTAAACTAAGTTCAGTTTTATCAGAGTTTAACTGATGTGGGATAAGGGAAATAACCGACTTTAGCTCCCTCTAGCCTTCCTGCCTCACCTAAGGGGGGGGGGGGCGCTGAAGAGTACTTGTGAAGATCAAAGACCAGGGTCATAGGCTCATTAAAAGACTGCAACCTAATCATAGGCTGATAGAACAGTCCCCACCCAACATCAATAGGAGTCTTGTATAACACAAAGGGATTACAGCTAAAGAGAATGGCAAAGTTTAGACCTATTTAAAGAATCTCTAGGGAAACCTAAGAACAGGGGAAACAAAAAACAAAGACACCAGAGGAAACTTTAGCCTCTGAACCTACAGCTACAATAAACAGTAAACATAGACTGATTCCTTGCCAGATAAACATAAAGCTTGACACCAAAGGCCTGTTTGCCTCTGTTCCTTTTACCTAATATATCAAATCTAGTTTTCAACAAACAGAAAAACAATTACAGGACATGCTAAAAGGTTAGAATAAATAAATAACACAGTCTGAAGAGACAGAACAAGTGTCAGAGCCAGACTCAGATAGGGCAGAGATTTGGATTTATCACACCAGGGATTCAGAATATGATTTACACGCAAAGGCTCTGACAAAAAAAGTGGACAACATGAAAGAACAGATGAGTAATGTACACAGAGAGAAATACCATGAAAGAACCAAAAGGAAATTCTAGAAATCAAAAATGCTGTAACAAAAATGAACAGAAAAGGATTCATCAGTAGACTGAACATGGTGGAGGAAAGAATCAGTGAACTTGAAGATACGTCAATAGAAACTACACAAACAGAAAAGCAGACAAAAAAAAGACTGAAAAATTGGGACAGACTATCCAAGACTTTTGGAACAATTACAAAAGGTGTAATTACATATGTATGATGTGAATGTAGAAGGAGAAGAGGGAGAAGGGAACTGAAGGAGTGTTTGAAGTAATAATGGTTGAGAGCTTATAAAATTGACAGGCACCAAACCACAGAAACAGGAAGCTTGAAGAACGCCAACCAAGAAAAATACCAAAAAAATTACACCTAGGCATATTGTGCTGAACCTATAAAAATGAAAATCTTGAAATAAGCTGGGGGGGTGGTGCCTATAGAGGAATAAGGATAAGAAATACATTGGAATTCTCTTCAGAAATCATGCAAGCAAGAGAGTGGAGTGAAATATTTAAAATAGTGATAGAAAAAAACACTAAAATTCTATGTCCAATGAAATTATCCTTCAAAAGTAAAGGAGAAATAAAGACTTTCCCAGCAAAAATGAAAATTGAGGATATTCGTTTCTAGTAAGACTTGCCTTGCATGATATGTTAAAAGTTCTTCAGAGAGAAGGAAAATTATATAAGTGAGAAACTCAGATCTACATAAAATAAGGAAGATTAGTGAAGAAATGAAGTAAGGTAAAATAAAATCTCTCTTTTTTCTTCTTCCTGACTGATCTAAGAGAATAGCTTGTTGAAAATAAAAATAACAACAATATAATAGATGATTATAGTTTATAGGTAAGTGAAATGTAAGATACCAATGTTGTAAGGGACAGGAAGGAGGAATTGGAAATACTCTGTTATAAGGCACCTGAACTACTTATGAAGGAGTACATTGCTATTTGAAAGTGGACTTAAGATTAGTTGTAAATGTATATTGCAAATTCTAGGGAAACCACTAAAATTTTTTTAAAAGAAGTACAATTGATATGCCAAGAGAGGAAAGAAAATGGAATCATATGAAAGGCTCAATTAAAACCAGAGGAGGAAAAATAAAAGGAGGGGTGGGGGTGGGATAAAGAGCTGAGAATAGAAAGTAGATACAATTAGGGTTGGTACCAATCCAGCTATATTGATAATCACTTTAAATTTAAACAATCTAAATATGCCAATTAGAAGAGACTATCAGGGGCCACCAAGGTCAATTGGCATAGCATAGTTACACTGAAAATGTTCTACATCCTACTTTGGTGAGTTGTTGTTGTTATGTGCCGAGTCAGCCCCAACCCATAGCGACCCCTCCTTGGGTTTCCGAGGCTGTATCACTACGGAAGTAGATTGCCCAACCTTCCTTCCGAGGAGTGGCTGGTGGGTTTGAACCTCCAGCCTTCTGGTTAGCAGTCAAGTGCCTTAGGCACTATGGTACCAGAGCTCCTCATACAAGTATAGTCAACTGATTTTTTACAAAGGAACAAAGGCAATTGAATGGATAATAGATAATCTTTTCAACAAATGATACTGAAATAACTGGACATCACATACACAGAAAACAAAAAAGAATAAAAGAACCTGACCACAGACTTTATACTGTTCACAAAAATTAACCCAAAATGGGTCGCAGACCTAAATCTTAAATGCAAAACTATACAACTTCTGGGAGGAAATATAGGTGGCTTTGGGTATCTGTGGGAAGGAGGGATGTAGGAAAGCTTTTCCAGAATCACAGAAATCACCACATGACTAGGCTGGCTGCAAAGTCCATCATATTACTCTCATAGATCATCCTTGAGGTGTATGGAGTTGTGGTAGGCAGAATAATGGCCCTCTCCAAAGATGTTCATGCCCTAATCCTGGGAACCTGTGAATATGCTACCTTATCTGTCAAAGGAGCTTTTGTGGCATAGTGGTTAAAGCATTCAGGTGCTAAGCAAAAGGTCAGCAGTTCGAACCCACCAGCCACTCCACAGGCAAAAGATGGAGGCAGTAAAATCTGTAAAACTTTACAGCCTTGGAAACCCTATGGGGCAGTTCTACTCTGTCCTTAAAGTTCACTACAAGTCAGAATGGAGTTGATGGCAGTGGTTTTGGGTTTGGTGGCAAAGGAGAATTTGCAGATGTGATTAAGTTAAGAATACTGAGATAGAGAAAATAGCCTGAACTATCCTGGTGGGCCCAACATAATCATAAAATCTGTGGCCATTGAGTTGATTCTGACTCATAGACACCCTACAGGACAGAGTAGAACTGCCCCATAGGATTTCCAAGGCTGTAAATCTTTACAGAAACAGACAGTCACATCTTTTTCCCGTGGAGTGGCTAGTAGGTTCGAACCACCAACCTTTTGGTTAGCAGTTGTGCACTTAATCACTGTACCACCAACGCTCCTAATGTAATCACAAGGGTCTTTATAAGAGAGAGGCAAGAGAATCAGAGAAGCAGAGGTCAGAGTGATGCACAGGGCCACAAACCCAGGAATGTGAGCAGCCTTAGAAGCTGGAAAAGGTTAAAACAGATTCGCCCCTGAAACCTCCAGAAGTAATACAGCTTGTCAATCTATTTTAGACTTCTGAATTTGTATTGTTTCAAAAAGAGTGAAGACAATAAAAGATTCAAGGAAACAATTACTCCAAAGGACTAACAGACTACACAAAACACAGCCTCCACTACCCTGAGACCAGAAGAATTAGATGATGCCTGGCTATCATGACCAACTGCCTCTGATCAGGATCACAATAGAAGGTCCTAGACAGGGAGAGGGAAAGAATGTAGAATCAGATTAAAAATCATACAAAGACCAGACTTACTGCTCTGATAGAACCCCTGAGACTTTGGCCCTTAGACATCCTTCAAGCATGAAATGGAGTCCACCCCCAGGGATAAATTTTCAGCCACAGAATAGACAGGCCTATAAAGTGAATAATAACACCAGGGAGGCATACACTTCTCAGTACAATCAACCATATGAGACCAAAAGGACCACATTTGCCCAAAAACAAAGCTCAGAAGTCAGAAAGGGTGAGAAAGAAGAAAAAATGGACATGGGGAATCCAGGGAGTAAGTGGGAAGAATGCTGTTATGTTGGGGGTATTGCAACTAATGCCATGAAACAAAACATGCAAATTGTTGAAAGAAATACTAATTTGCTCTGTAAACTTTCTTGCAAACTACCATTAAATATGTGTGTGTGTGTGTGTGTGTGTTGCTTTAAGTTTGTAGTCATTTGTTGTAGTAGCAATAGGAAACTAATACAAGACCCAAGATTCCCAGAGCTTTTTGCATCTAAGCAAATATATCAGGACATCATCCCAAAGCCCTTGGCAAAGTTCCGTTTAGCACTATGCCTGAGCAAGCCAGTACACAGTCAGCCATACAGGCTTGGGGCCCTTCCTTCAGGCAACATAAGAGA